CCCCGCTTGTGTTCATGCTCTCTCTCTCTTTCTCTCTCTCAAATAAACAAATAAAATCTTAAAAAAAAAAAAAAATACCCTCAGGACACCTGGGTGACTCAGTCAGTTAAGCATCAGATTCTTGATTTCGGCTCAGGTCATCATCTCAGGGTCGTGAGACTGAGTCCTGTGTCCGGCTCCACCCTCAGTGCAGAGTCTGCTTGAGAGTCTCTCTCCTTCTCCCTCCTCCTCTCACCCTGCTCATGCACTCTCTCTCTCAAATAAACAAATAAAATCTTAAAAAAAAAAAGACTATCCTCACTTTATTTTCTTCTCCGATTCTTGAACCCACTGTGATCGTGCTTTCATCTCCACAGAAATTGTTTGTAGCAAGGCCACCACTGATCTCCATATTGCCAAATCCAATCTTCAATTCTCAGTCCTCATTTTATTTGACCTATTGGCAGAATTTGACACAGCTAATTAATTTTCTCCTCCCTGACACATTTTTCATCCTTTTGCCTCCTACAAACACCACTCACTCTTGGTTCTCCTCCTGCCCCACTGGTCCTCCTTCAGCACCTCCTTTGCAAACGTTCATCTTCACCCTGATCTCTAAATAAAATTAGCTTGCCTAAGGGCTTAAGTTTTTAAACCTTTTCTCTTCTCTGTATTTCCCTCACTAGGCAACCACAGCCTGTTTAGACTTTAAATGTGATATATATATATATATATATATATATATATATATATATATATATATATCAACGCAGCCTGGCCCTTCTTCTCTGTACTCCAGACTCATACATCTAGCTGCCCATTTGAAATCTCCACTTACAGATACCTAATAGGCATCTCAACATTTAACATGGTCAAAATATAATCCTAGATTCTACATAAACACCTTAAAGTCTACTTCCCACCTCTACCCATCTGTCCCTTATCAGTATAAAACCAATTCCATCTTTCCAGTTTCACAGGCCAAAACTCAAGAGTCATTCCTGACTCTTCTTCTACTTTACTAGTCCTACCTCTGAAATATATCCCAAGTACACTGCTTCTCATCACCTCTGCCACTAGCCCCCAATCAAAGCCACCATGTCATCTTTTTCTTGTACTATTATAGTAAGCCTCCTAAACTAGATTCCCGGTTTCCACAAAACAGACCATCCATACAATAGCAAGGACAATTCTTTTCAAACCTAAGTCAAGTCATGTCACCTTTCTGCTCAAAATTTCTCATGACTTGCCATATCACTTGGAATAAAAACTGAAGTTGTTGGAATAGTCTACAAAGCCTCCTCATGATCTAGCTCTCGCTGCCTACCTCATCCACTACTCTTCCCCTTGTACACATCACTTCAGCTACACTGTCCTCCTTGCTGTTCCTCAAATACACTAAGCATATCCTGCTGCAGAGCCTTTGTACTTGCTGTTCCTCAACCTGAAAACCCTTTCCCTGGATATCTGTGTAACCTCTCTCTTGCATTATTTAGGCTCAAATGTTACCTTATCAGGGAGACCTTTTCTTACTATCCTATATAAACTAGCACCTCCCTACCTATACTGTCACTCTCAATCCTCTTATCAGCTTTCTTATTCTTAGCATCCATTACTACCTGATACAGAATACACAGGAATACCCCGCTTTATTGTGCTTTGCTGTATTGTACTTCACAGATATGGCATTGGTTTTTTTGTTTGTTTTTTGTTTTTTTATAAATTGTGTAGGTTTGGGCAGCTGGGTGGCTCAGTCGTTAAGCGTCTGCCTTCGGCTCAGGTCATGATCCCAGGGTCCTGGGATCGAGCCCCGCGCATCGGGCTCCCTGCTCAGCGGGAGGCCTGCTTCTCCCTCTCCCACTCCCCCTGCTTGTGTTCCCTCTCTCACTGCATCTCTCTCTGTCAAATAAATAAGTAAAATCTTAAAAAAAAAAAACTGTGAAGGTTTGTGGCAACCTTGAATCAAACAAGTTCACTGGCGCCATTTTTCCAACAACATTTGCTCACTTCATGTCTCTATGTCGCATTTTGGTAATTCTTGCAATATTCCAAACTTTATTATTATTATTATTATATTTGTTATGACTATCTGTGATCAGTGATTATAACCCACTGGATGGTTAGCATTTTTTAGCAGTAAGTATTTTCTAATTAAGGTATGTACACTGTTTTCTTAGACATAATGCTATTGTACACTTAATAGAATACATTACAGTATAAACATAACTTTTACATACTGGGAAACAAATTCATTTGACTCATTTTATTGCAATATTCATTTAATTGCAGTGGTCTGGAACCAAATCCACAATATCTTTGATGTATGCCTGTAATTATTTGTTTACTGTCTGTTTTCCCAAGTACTAAAACGTAAGCACCATGAAAGTAGCAACTGTAGTTTATTCGAAATGCAGCACTAGTGGGTAGTCCAAGATGGCAGCAAAGGAAGATCCTAAACTCACATCCCATGGACACACCAAATCTACTGCTACATATCGAACAATTCCCTCTGGAAAAGAATGAAAACTAGCTGAATAGCTCCTTTGCAACAAATGGTAAAAGGGCCACATCAAGATGGGAAGGGGAGGCAGGATGCAGTCTCTTCAAAACCCCACCCCTGGCAGGGGGACCCACAATCAGGAGGAATCTCACGAATCCAGATTTTCTCCCTGAGGAGTGAAGGGTTCGTGCCCCACATCAGGTACCCCACTCCTTGGGAACTGTAACAGAGAGATGCACCCCCAAAACATCTGGCTTTGAACACCAACAGGGCTCACATCCAGGAGACCCAAAGGGCTGTAGGAAACTGAGATACTTCTCTTAAAGGGCTCACATGCAGACTCAGTCGCCCTGGAAACCAGTACAAAAGCAGCAATTTGAAAAGTGTCCAGACTATATGTGAAGAAGTTTCACTGGCTAATCTTAAAACATCTATCAGAGAGGCAGGGGCCTGTCAGAACTTTCCAGGGATGGAGGCACTGGCAGGGACTTTCTGGTGCTCTCCCTCTGCCCTGATAGCACCAACAGGGCAGCCCAGCCTACGGCCGTGGGAAAGCTGTGTCTGCACCAGCCATGTGCTCTCCTGTGTCCTTGCTAAAGCTGGCAGGCACATGCAGTCTACACAGGGGACACTCCTTGATCACCTGCTCTGGTGGCCAGGGGGGCCTGCATTCCTGGGTCCAAAAGGGCTGTAACAATTGGAGAGAGACAGTTCTTGGCAGGCTATTGCCTCCAAGGCACCACACAGACAGCAGTTTGAAACACATCCCTAGTCTTTCTGTGAAACAGACCTATTTACTTGTCCCAGAGCTTCAGCCTGAGGGCCACACTTCACATTTGCCACACATCTGGAGGCTGTGGAGGTGCTTTCAGGGAAAGTAGGCCAGGGGACACCATCTTCACACTCTCCCTAAGCCTCACTACATTTTGCCTGTACCTCCCAGAAAGGAGCTTATACACTCATCTAAAGCCCTGATTTTTGCCAGTTGCCCAGAGGACACCTTTAGATCACCTGGTCTGAAGGCCAACTGGGTTTACAACTACAGTCGCACAGGACTACGTATTTTAAAACCTGCTGCCTGAGGGTCTGGCTTCCAATCAGCCTATAACTAGGGGCTGCCTGAGATCCACCCCCTTCAGAACACTGACAAGTCTTGGCACACTCTCAACAACTGGGACTTATCAAGAATAAATCAAGCTGCTTAGACAATCACAAAGGTTTCAGAGACAACCAAGAGCTAGGGCAACGTTGAAAGATAAGGTTCATCTCCTCCAGGAGGCCACTCTTTGAGGACTCATACATAGAAACAAACAGAGTCAAGCAAACTGAGAAAACAGGAATATGTCCCAAACAAAAGAACAAGATAAAACCTCCCCCCAAAAACTTTAATGAAACAAAAAGCAGCACTAAGAAGAACACCTGGCATTTAGCCGGGTACATATTTGCTGAATGACTAAATAAATAATAGCTTAAGTTATTATGCTAAAAGTTTATAAAGATTAACTCATTTAATCATCAAAAAACTATGTGGAGGTACTATTAATATTCCAATTTTACCAATGACACAAAGGCATAAGAGATTAAGTAACTTGTATGTCACATACCTTATAAGTGGTACAGTCAACCTCCTATCTATTAAATGAGATCAAGTTAGATCATACAAATGGACCACTTAACAAAATGCTTGGCACATTAAATACCTAGCACTTATGGAATACTTATTATGTGCCAGACATTAATGTAGGCTCTTTGTGTGTATTTACTTATTTAATTCTCATATTCTTCAATAAGTAGATACCATTAGTTCACTATTTTTTATTTATTGGGGCACCAAACCTAACTCAACAGAAATTACATAAAAGACACTGCTGTGAAAGAAATGGGACAAACTCCAACCTTTACTCTTCTCGGAAAACAGTTAACATGTGCTTAAAAAAATGTGTTTTGAAAGTTAGCACTGGAAACCAAATCAAAACGAACTGAATTCCTATCACATACAGACACACTCTTAACTGTATTTGTTAGCTTGTAGTTCTAGAAAGCCTTCTAAGATTCAAAGACAAAACAATCACAGATTTTCTTCATTAAAAAGAAAAAAAAAAAGCTACCCATTCCCCAAATATTTGGTTAGCTACTCCACACTGCATGGTATTGTTTAACATATCTTTTTCATTATAAGGAAAAAGCGAATTAAAGTAGATCTTTTTTCATATTTAAAACAGAACTTACTCATTTACATCAACCTGAAATCATCAAGTTTATGCACTGCAAATCAGCCTCTGCTTTAAAAGTCAGTTTTATTACCAAAAAATAAACTTTAAAATTACTGCACCTGAGAAAATAGCCAATTCCTTTATCCTTGAGTTAAAGTGAAAGCCAAAGGAATCATGAAAATGACTACATATAATTTCTTCAGCTCAACATAGCATTTATTTTTTAATTTTTTAGTTCCATCTATAAATACTATTCTATATTAATAATTAAAAATGAAACATTCTGGGTAAAGACCCTTAAAACTTACGGTGCAATAATGGCTCTAGCAGGTCTTTTTGTAGACTGTACTTGTGAGAGCCAACCTTCTAGCTGTGCATTCAGCTGCGGTCCTATAAAAAGAGAAAGAGGGAAATTGGAGTTAGCAGAGAAATGTACTATATATAACCACACTTGACACAAAGTCCTTATTGAACCTATCTGGGACTAAAATAGCTTAATGGGCAGTGGGATCATTAGTTTGGATGTTAATGTTTGAAACTTAACCAACTACTAAGCAAGCCATAGATAAGGCCATACACTGATTTATACAAAATTTGCTTTTATCCACTTACTTATTTACAACCATCTTCATTCCAGAACAATAATACGATTCTATAATTTGAGGCACTGTTTAAACAAAATAAAACAAGAAACAAAAGACTCTTGGCATATGAAAAGAAAATACCTGAGCACCAAAACTTGCCTTAATCACTAAATCACATCCATGGAGTGATCACTCCCATACCCAAAACCTTTCCTTCTATCCACTCCAGCCCCTACTCTGGTGAGCACATTGATAACCAGTGACTATGCCGTGTCAAAAATCTCAATTTCAAGCATCCCACTCTCCTCACTGCCTATCTTTCCAGTTCAGTTCTAGAAATCTGCTGATTGCCAACAGACTTGGAGTTACTATCCTTCCTCTCCTTTCTTCTTCCCCTCTTACCCAGCCTGAGACTTGATGTTCCATCACTATAATCATTTCCTCACCTATGCCCTCATTCTTGCTCCTCTCTTCCTCCACCACAGTCAAATCAGTTAAAACCAACTTTCCACTTAACACAATACCTTCACTTGTACAGATGAATGAGAAGACAAACGCAACCACATGAACTTTAAAATTATACCCATAAATTGCAGACCCTTAGCAAAGCTCAGAAATCATACCACATTAACCTAGTGAATTTGCTCTCCCAGCCTTAAGATAATTACTTCATATAACTTCTCATTTTACCTTAAAGCCTCATCCCCCTCTCACTCCCAGTAGATGATCATGCTTTTTCATTTTGTCAAGGAAAATCAGAAAATGGCCAACCATCCTGGCTTGGCCAGGACTTTCCCAGTTTTAGCACTGAAAGTCCTGCACCTTGGGAAACCTCTTAGTCGCAGGCAAACCTGGACGTTAGTCACCCTAAATTCAGAAGAGAACTACTTCCTCTTCCTACCATTTATTCTGTCTTCTCTCCTGTGTCAACACATTGACCTTACTCCTAATCAAAAGTCAAACAAATTCCTTCTGCACTGGGTCCCAATGTTTCTCTTCTCAAGGACTCTACTCCTAGACCTGTCCCAGTCTCCTGCACTAACTTGTCCCTTTTACTAGATCGTTACCATTAGCATGCAAATATATAATATAAGCAGACTGATTTCTCCCCAACTACCACCCATTTCTCTGGCCCCTTTTTTTCTCTAGCTCTCTTTTTTTAAGCATTTAATCATAAAATATTTAAATGTTACAAAAGAATCTAGATAATAATAAAATAAACATCCATGCATCCACTACCCAAATAAATTAAATTTTAACATTCTTCTTTACTTAAGATCTTCCTTTATTAAGAAATAAAATATTACAGATACACTTGAAAACCTTGCTGATCCCATTATACATGTCCCTCCTCAGAGGGAAATCAAAATCACTTACTAATTCTGGTGTTCATCATTACATTATTATACTTTTACTAATGTATATATCCATAAAATATGCATTGTTCTGCATAGGTATTATTCTACATGTTTTTAAATATTATATAAATATACTGTGCATGTTCTTCCATAATCTGATTTAGTACACAACATTATTGATAACAGGTACTCATGTTGATTTTGTAGCTCTAGTTCACTAACTTTCAATGTTGTATTATTCTGTGTGAATATACCAAAATTTATCTATTCATTCTTGTCACAGACACTTGGTTGTTTCCACTGTTTCACTGTTAATATGCAATGTTACAAGTCTCTTATAATCATGTATTAAGAGTTTTTCTGGGGGCCGCCTGGCTGGCTCAGTCGGTTCAGCGACTAACTCTTGATTTCCACTCAGGTCATGATCTCAGGGTCGTAGGATGGAGCCTGTGTCAGGGTCCATGCTCAGCGGGGAGTCTGCTCAGGATTCTCACTCCCCCGCTCTTTCTGCCCCTCCCCATCACACTCACTCGCTTCCCACCCGCACCCTCTCAAATGAATAAATCTTTTTTTTTTTTAAAAAAAAAGAGTTTTTCGGGCGCCTGGGTGGCTCAGTTGGTTAAGCGACTGCCTTCGGCTCAGGTCATGATCCTGGAGTCCCAGGATCGAGTCCCGCATCGGGCTCCCTGCTCAGCAGGGAGTCTGCTTCTCCCTCTGACTCTCCTCCCTCTCATGCTCTCTGTCTCTCATTCTCTCTCTCTCAAATAAATAAATAAAATCTTAAAAAAAAAAAAAGAGTTTTTCTGGGATTTAACTACAAATAAAAGTACTGGATGATAGAGTACGCCTATCTTCACCTCTACCAGAACACTGCAAATTGCCCACTAAAGTGGCCAGATCAATTTACCCATCAGTGTAAAGGCATAAAAAATGAGAAGTTTAATTTTTCTTGTTAAAAATAAGGGAAGAATGGGGCACCTAGCTGGCTCAGTGGAACATGAGACTCTGGATCTCAGGGTTGTAAGTCTGAGCTCCACGTTGAGCTTCATGAAGCCTACTTAATAAAATAAAATAAAATAAAATAAAATAAAATAAAAAGGAAGGAAGAGATACCCCCCACATTCTTCTTAAAGCACATTCTCTAGAAAACTTGTAATTGTAAATTATTTCTCCATCCCTTTGAAATATATGTAAATCTTTTTAAAAGCTAAATAAGCTTCTAGGGACCCCAGCTGGCTCAGTCAGTAGATCAGGCGACTCTGAGTTCAAGCCCCATGCTGGGTGCACAGCTCACTTTAAATACAGCTTATTTTAAATAATAAATAAGTCAGTCAGTAAGCAAGCAAGCAATCAACCTAGCAAGCAAGCTTCTAACCAGCAACCCAGGACTCTTTGAAATGTGATTTGCCCCAAAGGAAATAGCACCCTCTTTCTGCCAGTTTTGTGGGAAGACAGGAACCTAATAACTAGCTGGCCACCTAGCTCCCAGCTGCAAAATTACCTTCCTCTCATAAGAACACAAGCTTATTTTTAGCCAGTTACAAATACATACGGTCACCCCAATTACCAACTGATTTAAAATGAACTATGTGTGAGAAATGTTGCTATCAAGCCCTCTGACTTGAGCACTACTTACAATTTATCTTGAGAACATGTATGTAATGGGTTGTATCTGGCCATATAAAGGGTGAGCTCTCTTTAGATCTCTGAAATCTCTTAGCAGATTGACTGTGATGTGCTTCACATTGTGGCTCAATGCTTATTTTCTTTCTCTTCTGCCTCTGAAGAGAGGTTTTTCTGAAATGGAGGTTTTGGTTTAAATTATATTTCTCCAACATCGGCAATGGTTAAAAATTCCCATTTCCCCTCATCCTTACCAATATTCGATACTGTCAGAATTTTTAATTCTTTGGCAATATGATAGGTATGAAACAGTATACCTTTATTTCTTCTAATTTGTTTTTCCCTGATATCCACTGAGATTAAACATCTACTGACTTGGATATCCCTCTGCATATATTTAGGACTATAAATAGAAACAAGTCAAGTTTATAATGAACAGCCCATCTATAAAATGCCAAAGTACAAAAAAGTTCTGATTTCAGCAATGTAGTTTATTTTAAAAACTTAAATTTAAGAACAATTCCAAGAAAAAATGTATTACATAACCTCATTAGTAACTCAAGGAAAAATAGTTCAGATTTTCAGTGTAAATTTTTAGCTGACGAATAAACTTTGTATTAACTTAAAATAAGTATTGCTCTAAATATTTCCAAGGAAGTTGACAAAACAAACTGAATAGTGGGTAAAAGCAAAGAATATATTATCTCCCAATTTAGCCACTCTACTGCCACCAAATTCACTGATTTTTAAGCACTAAATCAAGGTATTTTAGCAGTCCTTCTATTAAAAGGACAAATTTCCTCAAAAGGATTCTAAGGTAAAAGCTAAACTCCAAGTTTCTTAATTATCTTTGAATAAGACAACTGAGCATATATGTTTATTATGGCTGCTTAACTGTTGATCTATAAAGTATCAAGTAAAAAAATCAATTTGAGAGGCTGATACTTAGCAAAATGGTATCCTTAACACATGAAGATGACGAACAAAATATGCTTTGTGTTTCAAATACCACTGGATTTGAAGGTACACTGATGAGTGGAAAAATCAAAGTATTGTTAAATCCTAGCAAAACTAATGGCTGTGTGATCTTGCCCTGAGAGGGATAAATGGACATTTACTTCTTTGGAAAAGATACTAAAAGTAGGTTCCCAAAGGATCAATACTCAGTTATTTCCTTAGGAAACAAACAATAAATAATGGGCTATATTTACTATAATGCAACTCAGTAACACTTCTGTTTCTATCCTACTTGAGTTAAACAATTTTACAAGGAAGTTTACTCTCATAGTGACAAAACTATAGAGATATTAAACATACACACACATACACACCCCTCTTCAGTCCTGCTTTTCCTATGCAACTTCTTTTTTTTTTTTTTAAGATTTTGTTTATTTTGTCAAAGAGAAAGAGAGTGCACACAAGCAGGGGGAGCAGCAGAGGGAGAAGCAGGCTCCCCGATGAGCAGGGAGCCCAACAAGGGGCTCGACAAGGGGCTCAATCCCAGGAACCTGGGATCATGACCTGAGCTGAAGGCAGATGCTTTAGACTGAGCCACCCAGGCGCCCCTCCTATGCAACTTCTTAACAGAACCATTCTAAGATATGTAATGAAGTAAGCCAAAATGGTTTTCTACACTTTTGTTTGGTCTGCTGTTCCTATTCTTCTTTGCAAACAAAAAATGTTAGTGGCCTGCTCACTCTGAACAAAAGTCATGTGTTCTGAGGCGCCTGGGTGCCTTCTCCTTCTCCCTCTTCTGCTCCCCCTGCCTGTGCTCTCCTGCTCTCTCTCTGTCAAATAAAAACCTTTAAAAAAAAAAAAGGTCATG